AGTCCTTTTGCCGCATAAGGCAACATATTCATAGATTTGGGGGTTTAGGGTTTAGGCATCTTTGTGAAAGCCATTAGCTTACCTACTCTTGTTCGCCTCATGCTGAAGGGGTTTGTACCATGTGCCATGCATACTCTCTTGCTTTCTTTCTCACAGCTAATAAGAGGTGAACCAGGGTTTTGAACCCAGGGAGTCCAGGTCTGGAGCCTGCACTTTTAAAACAACTGCAATATATCTGATTTTGTAACCTGATGTTTTGTTTTGTTTTCTCTTTATATATTTTGAATAGTGTCCCATGACCCTAACTGTTTTTTTTTAAATCTCACTAAAACATGATTTGTAATGGCTAACTATATATTCCATCATAAAAGTGAGCCATATCACTTTAACCATTCTCCTATAGTCCTGGTTGTTTCCACATATGTAATTACTGAAAAATGCAATGGTGAAAGTTTTAGGCCCATACTGATTTGCTGAACTAGTGAAGTTCCTTGGGAACTGGTTAAGTGGTATAAACTAGAAAACGGTATTCCACAGACGTTTCCTTAGGTTGTAATAGGGATTCTATGAAGTGAGGTTCTCTGGTTAAATAAATCTGAGAAATGCCATACACCCATCCTTGAATTGGAGATTCCCAAACCTATTAGCACCAAACCCTTGGTGAAGTCCTCTGATAAAGAAACCTCTCTCTCTCGTTTTTAAAGCTTTCTTTAACCCGTGCTGTTCCCCAGGCCTCTGTGATCAGTGGCTCTGTTTGCAGCATTGAGTGCTATCTTACAGAACTTAGCTTTGGACATAGTTTTGGAGACACGGCTCTGGAATCATCCCAGCCAAGTGGAGCTGCTTACCCTCAAACACCTTTAAAAGCTTAAGTCTAAAAGTACTCTAGATGCAATAGTTTGAGCAAAATCATGTTTATAAAATTAACTTGAAACTGTTTTCTACCCTCCACTCAGAATTCCAGCCTAGCTTTGTTCTGCTGGTTCCTCTTGTCATAGAGCTCACGGGTACCTGCTCCCTGCTCTGTCAATATCAGGTGTCAGCCTTTGGCTAAGACCACCTGGTCTGCCCCGAGTCTGTGTGACACTTTCCATTCATGTTGTTTCCCAGGAACCATGACTGGGGTCCTTCAGGAGAGCTGTTTTGTAGAGTGTTCAGCTCAGGATGTTTGTCATTGAAAATAGAGCTCACTTTCAGCTGTCATCAGCTATTCAGCCATTCGCCAGGTGAATAAACAAAAATGAGAGCAAGTTTTGATGAGGCCAGTGGGGATGGAGCCTGGAGGTACTGGGGAAGTGCTGGGTGAGATGCATGACAATGAGCACCGGAGATGACCCATCACTATTTGGGGATCCTAACAGGGTATGTCCTCAGGGATAAGAAATTTCTAGGGTTCCTGAGACCATAGACAGGGATGAGCTAGACTCTCCAGGCCTGAGGCACAGACCATTTGAGTCAATTCATGTAATGATCCCAGAGGCCCAAACAATGGTGGTGTCTGGGGTGTCCCACTGGGGGAAGAACATGAGATGTTTTTTCATCATCCTAATTGCAAGGACTGTTGGCTGTAGACTTCTGAGGAAGAAGGTGGGTGTGGAACAGGTCCCGCTACAGCTTTGTAGCTGTCTGTGTGATTCCTAACATGGTTAGAATTCCAGTGCATGGTTTGAACCATACTGGTCTGTGTGGATGGGTGGGAGGGGGGAGGGGTTGCAGATCACAGGGCCCAGCAGAGAAGCCTGGCCAAGGGGATGGGGCGCAGTGTCTCCTTTCTTTGGGGACCTATGACTCCTCTGGAGCCTCTGATGTGGGCGTGGCTATTTGAAACTCTCAAGGACTTTCTCTTTAGAAGCAGCTGCTCTAAACCTGCTAAACCAGTCTTTCTTTGCTGTTACGCGTGCGCCCTCTAGTGTCTATAAATGGTAAAACTTGCTCAAGGGACCAATACAAAGACATGTCTAGAATACAAAGACAGAAGCAGGCAATGTCTCTAATGTTTAATGGTTAACCGCTTCTCTATACTAACCCTTTGCCCTCTTTGCAATTCTCTTTCAGCCTACATCCACCAGTGTCATTTAGGCATAATCAACATGATTTGGGTTCCAGACCAGACCTAACTCTGATTGCTAACAGCTAATGTAACTTGGGCTGGCATTAGCATCTGAGCCTCCATGGTCTAAACCGCTCACAGACGTCCTGGCATCCACCTTGACTACACCCCAAGGTCATTGTGAGGATCGAGTGACGTGAAGCCTGTTAATAAAATGCCATTTGCATGTGGTGGTTATTACTTCAAAGCCATTGAGCCTGTGATTCTGTAGACCAAACTTGTTTTGAGTTCATGTGCTTTGGTGAAGACATTTAAACTCTTTCCTCAGATCCTCCATGGGGAATTCTGTCCCCATCCGCAAGCGTTGAATAAGTGGCTGCTGTGTGTATTTCATCATGTCCTAATGGTTCATTCAGCAAACGTGAGCTCCTACCTACCACAGTGGGTGCTGGGATCCAGCAGTGACCGGGACGGACCAGGTCCTGCCTTATGCAGTTTATATCCAGATGAACTAAGGGGTTCATAAAGGATTGAGATGGTCCCTATCCTTAGGTGACTTTGCAGCTTGCTTGAGAAGAGAAGCTTAAACAACCAGATGGGATACAAGTCAGCATGTGAAAACGGCTTTCACAGAAATACAAACAGTGCCTGAAGCAGGGGCCTGACCGTGGTGTGTGTGAAAGGGTGAAGGCAGGGAATATAGACTATGCTTTCTAGAAGTTTAATGCTGGGGGAGTGGCTGATGGGAGGTAATTTGGACGCTTAAGAGGTCAATTGGAAAATAATGACGACCAACCTCGGCAGTTTGGTGTTTATTTCTAGTTCTAGAAGAATTGCAAACATTTTATGCACAATACCCACAAAATTGCTCTTTCTCATTCTAGGGACATTATTCTTTGAGATTCCAAATAAATAGTAACTGGGCAAATGGGATGCTTGCTGTTCTAAATGTTAACTTAGTCCTTATCCCAAGTGTCTGGGGTAGGCTGCTCTTATCACACTCACTTTACAGATATGGGACCTGGGATAGAAAAACAGTAAGTGACTCGCCCAGGGTTATTTGGCTGCTAAGCAGAGTGGATTCAGACCCACACAGGCTGGTTCCAGGCCTTGCAAGCTCACCTCTGTGCTAAATTGTTTCTCAAACCTTCATTTAAAAAGTCAATCTGAAATTATAGAGACCTATCTTAAGTATGCAGAGGTAACATTACCTGATTGCTTTAAAATATTTCAATCTTAGGAAGGAAGGAAGTAAGGATAGGTGACGCGGGTGTGGTAAAATCTTGATAAATGTTTAATGTATTCGATGGGGAGCCATTATAGCATTCCCTAATAAAAAATGGAAATCATTGCTAGCAGATATGATAAATTTGAAGTATTTTTACCTTGCTGTTAATATCAAAAGACTTTTTGTAAATGACTTGGGTAATTTAGATCAAGACAAGGAGTTTCCCTAGGTTACTAGTGTGCAGGTGCCTCTTGCAGATAAAGTGCCCTGTTCTATGTATGAAAAACAACTTTCCACCTTGTTGTCAAATTTGAGGGCCATGCTTTTTCTTTACACAATAAGGGTCGATCTTCTTGGCAGATATATTGGATAGAATAGCAAAATGACTGAGTTAGAAGGGACTTCACAGACAACTTCTTCCACAATTCTCATTTTGTAGCTAGGAGAACTTAATGATCTGCCCAGGATTAGATAGCCAACAAGAGATAATTCATGGAAGAGCAGAAATAAAAACCTGGGTATCCTGAATTTTAGGGGGCTTTCCAACCCCCATCAAAAGCAGCTGTGTCCAGAAAGAGGCTGTAGCAACCCTCATGGCGACACAGACCCCAGACTTCACCTGAAAGACCTTGGCCAAGGTGAAAGTCTGGGGAAGAAGAGGAAGGAAGATGAGTCACCTCCAGCTTGGGACTGGAAGGGGTCAAATGGGCCTTTAACCTTGGCAGTTTCCAAACTTTGGACTTGAATGGTCCCACGTGTTTTGTGTGTGTGTTTCACATTCCTTTTTCATAGACCCTTCATCTCCCACAAAGGGCATAGTTGGAACTTCTCAGAGGTGCATCTGGGGCTCTGTGGCAATAAAACCACCCCTTGATGGGCCAAAGTCAGGGCCGGGCATGGCCCAAGAGGGAGGAATGCAGAAGGTCTTGGTGACAGTGCCTAGAGTCACCACACCCCACCACCCTTGACCTGGTCTTATCTGAAAATCCCTGTAAGGCATTTCCAAAGTCCACATCTCACCTTTCCCAAGTCTGGTGCACACCTTTCCTACGATGCCTAAGCTGTCTTTGTTGGCATGCATTCCTTAAGGTTTGGGGGCTGGGCCAGGGTGTCTCAAACCTGAATGCTTTAGGACCGTGGCAGGTAAGGTAAATGAATGACGCTGGCCTATTAAGACTGCGGGGACCTGGGAAGAACAAACCTAGTTCTCATTCAAAGGTCCTTCAGCGCTGACTGTCCACGCCTGAAGCTTGGGGCAGGTCAGATGGTAGGTGATGGCTTTTGATAGACAAAAAAGAACCTGGTGAGGGGACCAGGAGACCTCAGCACAGCCCTCCCTTTGCAGGACCTCAGTTTCCTTCATCTATAAGAGGTGGGTCTCTAAGGCTGAAAGGTGCTGTCCCCTCACAGTCTCATTCTATGATCTATGACATGTCCCCAGAACTGGAGCCAGTGTCTGTCTGCCTGACCTGTATTTGCAAACTGCCCAACGGGCCTCTTACATCTGACTTTTTAGCACCGGGTCCTTGAGGTCCTTGTTGGGTTGTGACATTCTCCTTACGTACTTTGATCCCTGTAATAAAATGTCCTGCACGTAACCATTGTTCCGGTACCACGATGTCGGTGCTTGATTTTTTTTTTTTTATGCCCGTTTTCTCCTCTTTCTGAAAGCAGTCACAAGCAGACAAGCTTAGAAAGGGTGTTCTCTTCGTATTGTTTCAGGGAAAATAGAGAAAGTCAGACCTCCTCCATCCCCCACACCTGAAGGCCCCAGCTCGCAGCCTGACTTAGCCCCCGAAGAGGCTGCCGGATCCCAGCGGCCCAAGAATCTGATGCAGACCCTCATGGAAGACTATGAGACACACAAATCTAAAAGGCGCGAGCGAATGGATGATAGTAGTGTAAGTTCCTTCTCCTTTCCTCTCCCACGTCCCCGAGGGCGAACGTAGCGTGCCGTGTAGTGTTGTCTGCCAGTAAACTGGTTCCTAAGCCGATTTTCAAATGTGTGGTTTTACACGCCTGGAGGCGGGGTTGGGATTTTTGCCTTGTTTCTCAAAAACACTGAGCAGGCAAGGAACTGGTCTTTTTTCTGCCAACTGTAATTGGAGCCCCCTGGCCATGGTAGTGTGTGGATGTTTGGTGCAAGAAGGGAAGAAGGATGGAGGGGCCCTGAAATCATCCCAGGCACCAGGGAGCTGCTTTCTACCATCGCTGCCTGCTCTGTAGGGTTTCATTTCTCTAGAGAACTATGAGGATGCTGTTCCTTCAACATCTCCTCTGGGCAGTCCCTAGAAATGTTACTCAGTGCTCAAACGACTGAGTGCGTTGGGGCTGTTACCAAGCCTTGCGTTCAATTTAGCAGGAAAAGAGCCATTTAAAATGACGGTTAAAAACCACACGGCCACCTGCTCCCCTCAACCCTGAGAACTTCGCCTGTGATGTTCACATTGACCACGAAGGAAGTCATCTGCTCTGTGGTTTCTTTCTCTCATAAGAGACGCGAGGGCTGTGGTTCCACAGCCAGAAGCCGGGGATCAGCCTGAGGGGTCCACGCCAGCCTCCTAGGAGTCTGCTGGCCTCGGTCTCTTAGCAATTATTGAGGTGACTGCCTCTGCCCCCCGGTTACACTTCGGTCACAAATAGCTTGGGTCTGTGGAGGATGCCACCCAGTTTTCCTGGGACAGCCCTGGTGTAAGCCTGTTGTCCTGGTGTCACTATTAATAGCATCCCCTTCCACTCTCAGAAGTGCCCCGGTTTGGATGATAAATTATTTGTGCACCTTAAACGTGAGAGCTGCGGGGCTCACAGTCAGAACTCCAGGCTGACCTGTCACCTTTCACGTCCCATTGACTAAGTTAAAGGATTTCCGCCTTGATGCTCAATGTGGCTTTCACAATATGTTGGTAAAGAAAGCAAGCACACCTGTGACAGCTGGCTCACCTGGCACCGCCCCGGCTCTCTCCTTGGGTCTCCCCGGAACTCCTCCGGATCCTGACTCAGCTCCCCCATCAGGCCTATTGCACCGGGGAGGGGCCTGGCCCTCTGTGGCTGCTGCAGACTTACTTCCCTGAGCCCATAGGACGTTCTCTGCCCACCAGGCCACTTTAGCCGGCCCCTTGCAGCCCCACTTAAAGTATGGAGTTTACCTTTGGGTATCTTCTGCAGCCTGTGACCATTTTGCAGCCTCATGCTAGAAAAATGGCTGTTTCTTTCCTCCAGGGGTTCCAGCCATGCACCAGCCGCGCTGGGGAGGTGGGCCGAGCGGCCCCCTCGCATTCTGGGGGAGAAGGGGGAGAACTGATGGAACCGCTTTGCATGGGCGCCACTCGAGTGTTTTCTTACTGGTAGCACCCTAGGTGTCTCTCGTGTGTGCCTGTTGTGTCGAGGTGCAGACACTGCAGGGGAAAACCCACGCAGAAGGGAAGAGCCTGCTCTCAGCCCCTTTCATAGCAGAGGCGGAAGCCTCTTGCGGGCAAACTCTGGCTCTCAGGCAGCCGCCCGGGCGAATGCCAACCAGGTGGGACTTCCCCCAGGCACTGGGGCAGCTACTCAGAATTGGGGTTTCAATATACTGGTTGCTCTTCACCTGTGCAGTGAAGTGGCAGCCTCCTCGCTGTTTTTCTCGAGTAAATAAACATTTCATACAAGGAGGAACCCTACTAACTAATCAAGTTGTTACTCTCCCCAGATCTTGGATTCAAGGCCCAGTGTTTTTCACTGTTACTGATATGACAAGAGAACCAAGTTTGTTGTTGGAAATTCTTAGGAACAGGACAAAACAATCCCCCATAGCCCCTTTCAGAGACCCACATTGGGAAAAAGCATACTCAGATTGCTTCTAAAGCAATCTGAGCCCCAGTGACCCCACTTCCAGCCCTTTTGATTCAGGGGATCTTTGCTATTGTGCCTGCATCAGTCACTGGGTAGTATTTGAAGTTCACCTGCCAGAACGAACGAACCTTCAGTTGCTTCCCCGGCTGACCCGTGGCCCCTTCGTTAATTGTCTCTGATCCCAGAAGGAGAATAAATAGGAGCAGATGGGTTGCTTCATGCCTGAGTTGTGTAACTGGCTTCCCTGCCCCTAGAAGCTGTAGTTCTGTTCTGGCTCCATTCACACACGCTCTTCTCTGGGCAAACGATGGCTTCTTAGATTCCCCACCCTCTAAGAACCTCCCATGGCTCACCTGGGCCCAGTGTCACCCCGGCACCCATATTGGTGGGTCCACCTGCCAATATGCCTTCCAAAAACTCACTGAGGAGCCCCTCACACATGACCGGGACCCAACCATGGGCTTGTCCGTAGGTTTGTTCAATTCAACTCTTTCTGAATTGAACAAAAACAATTCTTCTTTGCTGTGCTTCCTAAGGAGAAGGCAGACTTACCAACAAAATAGGGAGACTGGGATATATGCATTGTGATACATTAGACACCAGGGCATTAACGAGCATGAAGGACAGAAGGGAGAGAAGACAGAAGCCCCCGGAGCTGCACCTGCAGTGCTCATGAGTAACTTGCCACCCGACCTGCGAAAACTGTCCCTCGCCATCAAAACAGGTGTGGCGCCCCCCGCCCCAGAGCAGCATTGGTCTCTGGAGACCTGCCCCCAGCTCAAGGTCCTGACTCTTTCACACTCTGTGACAATCACATGCAGGATAGGCGGGGAGGCCTCTGGCGCCTGGAATCCCTGCTGGGGGGTGACGTGGGGGATGACTGTACAGCATCAGCATTTGGTGGGCTTTCATGGTCCTGAGCTGTCCCCTCTCCTGCTGGGAACAAGGTGAGGGCTCAGAGGAGGACCGAAGGTGGAAAATTAAATCATGGACTTTCTCATGGAACATCACTCAGCAGTCACTGTCGGTGACAGTGAGTCGACTGTGGTTCTGCTCATTTTGCAGCGAGTGAAAAAGTCAGTGACAAACAACCAGAAAAAAAGACCCTTTCTCAAAAATTTATTCCCGTCTACCATCCCTGTTACCATCTCAGAGCAGGTGCCCACAGTTCGTACCCATCTGGGCTGGCTTCCTTGTTCTGCACGGCATGGTCACCAATGAGTGTCTGCAAGCTGGAGGCTTCAGCCAGGCCCCACTTCCTAATGGACCTCTTGGCTGTTTGGGGTAGGAGAGTTGCCCTGGGCTGTTTGGCAGCCTACGCAGGGCCTTTGTGAGAATGTTAAAAAGGCACCCCTTTTCCTCTGTGGGGACGCAGCCTGCCCCAGCCACACAGTAGGTGAGTGGAGCGGGGGGACTGAGCTCCAAGCCCACCAATCCCCTCCCCCACCCTGGTGCCTTTGTGCAGCGCACACACCACACACCCAAAGGCAGCCGTCCTGCTCTTATTGTGGGTGTCTCTTATCTGAAAACCTTCTGTGGAAATGTCCCCTTATCTGGGCCTGATGCCATCTCTGCTCCACACAGCACATTCTGGACTGGTGAATCACAGTGTTCTAAAGGGTTTCTTGGTGACATGCAAAAGAAGGATATTCAGGCAAGTGTTTTTCTGGCCAGTTGTTCCACAGCTTACCTGAGCCTCAGGAAACGATGGGTTGAGTCCATGATGCCCTTGAACTTGGTGGATTGCTTTCTCTTTCTTAAAGGGAAATGCTAGTCCGAGTCTAAATCCAGCCCCTCCCTCGTGCCTAGCACAGAATCTGCTCTTGGTGAGTGTTCCCTGTGTTCTCTCTCTCTTGCCCCAAGAATAGGTGCCTAGGACTTTCAGGCATTGTTGCCTGTACTGGAATAAGAGACGCCTCATCAATCCTCCCAGGTTAAGTCAAAGCTAGGGGCAAGCAGTTACTGCTTCTCTAAGAATTCCTGGCACACATTTTTCTGTAAATGAGGACACCCTTTGGGACACCCTTTGTGGCTCTACTGCCATCGAGAGGTTGAAAGAAACCCATCTGCCTCCAGTTCCCCCCACAAAAGCTCACCCACAATCAGTGATGTTTTGCGCTGCCCAGCTTTCTCTTGGGTTCTCACTCACACCCTAGGAAGGTGCAAAGAAGAGAACTCCAAATTCATCCGCTCCTAGCCAGCAGCCTGATCACTACAGAACTGTCATTTGTGAGTGCTACCTAGAAGAAGCCGTCAGCGATCACAGATCTATGATCTCAATGGTTACCCATGCCAAAGACCAGTGTAAACGCAAGATCACAGTCACAATTCTGGAGGGGGCTGCCCAAAGTTGGTCCTTCTATCTCAGTTCCCATAACCAAGACTTTTTTTTTTTTCCTGAGATTCTCTTGCAGCGACTTAGTCTCCTACAGGAATTCAAGGATCGTTTCAGTTCCTATGTGAGCACCCCACCCGCGGGAACTAGTCCATGTTCCCTAGGCATCCTTAGGTCAGTGTCAGAGACTCTGCCTCCACAAACCTTGCATTCGAGCCACCTTTCTCTGTAGTTAGAGTCTCCTTTTCATTGGACAACCAGCTACAGGACTGCTTTGGAGTTCAGAGATGCCTACAAGAACAGAAATGGCTCTTTGGATTCTAGCAAATCCAAAATGGCCCTCAGGGACCTTGCTGTGGGCAGCTGGTTACAAAGGCGGGGAGGAGAGATCTTGTTAATTCAAAGCACAGAAAATGGGAAGCAACAAATCTTGAATTAACAAAGTATGGCTTATCTGATATTTTTATTAAAAAATAAGAGGGTATCTATTTGCTCCAAAAGATACAGATTTCTAAATAAACTAATATCAGATGAAGCAAGTGTTGGCACGGGTGTGTAATGGTCTCCGGTGTTACTGCCCTCCTGTCTGCCCCCTGTGGTGCCGGTTCCCGGGGGGCGGGGGGTGTTTTGGGAGTGTGTCTCTGCCATGTACTAACCCTGGTCTTTTCCCTCTCTGCCAGTACACCTCTAAGTTACTGTCTTGCAAGGTGACTTCCGAGGTACTTTTCAACTTGTCTGTCTTGGTCTTCCTGCATGCCTGGCCAGGTGCATGCGGTTGTGGTGTGCCGTTTCCTGGTGGGTTGAATGAGAGGGACCAGAAAGCAGTTTGTCTCCGTATCTTTTTCTTCCTGTTGTTTCTGAACTGGGGGAACTGCCTCAACACTTTGGCGTGCACGCAACAACGATACGCCCTGCTGTGCTTTGCTGTGCCGTGTAGTGGGATGGAGAAGACCTTACCCCGCTCATGGATCTGGAAGATGTGTTTAGTTTCTTCAGGCACTGATAGCAAATGTACCCTGGTCTGGTTAGAAAACAGTGCAGCTCAAGAGGACCGAGTCCTGTGTTTGCCTTAACACAAATCCAGGGGGCTCCTTGTCATCGCTTTAGGATACGTTATTCCAGAAGTGAACCATCCAGCTTCCCTTTTACCCAACTGTTAAGTCTGTATTTTTGTTTTGGAAGCTTTGCGAATTGAATTTCCCTAAAAGTCTCCTTTCCCCTACAACTTTATTTTATTTCTTAATATATGTTTTTATTGATTTCAGAGAGGAAGAGAGAGAGAGAGAAATAGCAATCATGAGAGAGAATCATTGGTTGGCTGCCTCCTGCATGCTTCCTACTGGCGATTGAGCCACAACCTGGGCATGAGCCCTGACTGGGAATCGAACTGTGATCTAGTTGATAAGCCTGCGCTCAACCACGTAGCCACGCCAATGGGGCTACAACTTTCTCTTATACAGATTTAACAAACTTTTGCTGTGAAAAAGCATATTTTTCATTTTCCCCATTTTTTAATATTTTCTCTTTCCTGTGAGAAAGCATTTCGTAGTTTTATTTCTACAGCACTGTATTATTTTTATTTTAAAAGAATTATTTCAAATATACAGAATTGTGGAGAAAATCGTTCATTCATTTGCTCTGTTAACGGCTTTTTGAGCACCTACTATGCATCAGACACTTTTCTAGGTTCTGAGAGTAGAGCAGTCAACAAAACGGTCCCTGATGTCATGGAGCAGGCATTCGAATGTGCTAAATGACATAACATAATAAAATAATAAAGTCTACTATCCAGCTTTGTCCATTCTTATCATTTCATAATATGTGCTTAATATTTTAAAAAGAAATTAATATTGCAAGTAGAACTTACCCCTCCTGTTACTTCCCCCAGTTCCCCTTTCTCTCTCTCCTGAGAGGTAGTTATATTTGAGTTTGGTGTTCATGCATGTTTTTATACTTACACTACATATGTGTAAATAATGTGTTCTGATTTTGCATGTTTTAGAACTTCCTATAAATGACATCATATTGTAGTATCCTCCACTCCTTACTTTGTTTTGTCTGCATTGTTTTAGATGTGTCCATATTGATGTTTATGGTTCTAGGTCACTCATTATAACTGCCATATAGTATGCCATTGAATGAACATGTCACTGTTTATTCACCCTCCTAGTGATGGAAATGTAGGTTGTTTCTTGTTCTAAAAATTTTTTTATTGCTGCTACCAACAATGCTTTGCTGGATGATATCATCCATATCTCTTTGTGCACCTATGGGAGAATTTCTCTCCGTATCCAGAAATAGAAGTACTGGTTATAGGGCTTACATAGCCTCACATTTACTACATATTGCAAATTATTCTTCAAATTGGTTGTGCTAACCTATAGCACAATATACTTTAAATCTCCCTATTTAGCAAAATTATGTATAATTAACTATATACATAAGCTGATGATTACCAGCAGTTTTCTTTCATAAGGTATAAAATGAATATTGAGAATATTACATGTACCTTTCTCAATGTCTAACTGGTTTTCAGAACCTTAGATATATTTTTTAGCTTTCAAGTACACCTTTCAGTTTATATGTGCAAGGTGAACAGATGGCCAGTTTGCACAGGGTAGAGATCCTTATAAAAATGCCTTATATTTGATTACCACTCTATAGTTTATGAATTCCCTTCACATGATGATAGAAATAATTATTGTTTGAGAACTTATTATACACTGGGAACTATTGCTAAATGCTTCCCATATGGTGCCTCATTTATTCCTCAGGCCAACTCTATACTGTATTTTTTATTGTTCCCATTATACATACAAGGGAACTGAGGCATGAGGGTAAACTTTCCCCAGGTGACACCGTCACGAGGAGGTACACCTAGACCTGCCTGGACTTCAGAGTCAGCACTGCCTCCTGAGAAAGCCGATGACGTAGGGCAGGGGTGCGTGTCCATTTTGCAGATGAAGAAAGTTGAGGCACCAGATACCATGAACAAGAACAACATGCTCCAGAGCTGGAAATAACGCTCAGGACTTCCAATTCCGGTCCAACACTGCTGCTCAATGCCATGTGACCATGCACTGCCCAGAAGAATCCTCTACTTATAACTATAACAGATTTGAAAGCATGCTTTTTCCTACTGATATCTTATTCTTAGATATTGAGTAAGTGGCCATGCTATGCTTACACACAAAACACTGTATGACATGGCTTATGTGCTTAATAATCTGTGTCTTACATGACAAGTCCAGTTGTCCCTGCTAACGCTCTGGAAAGTCGGTTCATTTGTCAGAGGGGCAGAGAAGCAGGTTGAGATGGACCCCCAGGGTCTGCTTATATCTGGGCTCCCAGCACTGCCCGTCGCCTGCATCTCCTTGCTTCTCTGGAGTTGCCAGCATCACTGTTGCTGTCAAAATGATTGTTCTTAGAATAAGCAAAGCCTTCCTTGCTATTTGGATTATCAACCAGGGTTGGCTCTGCTGGACTTTTCTGTAAAATCAGAAACTTGGTACCCTAAGCTAATGCCACAATAGATGAGCTGGCTGGCTTGCATGGGCATGCTTTGGGTGGAGTGTCATGTACTCGACTATTTCTCACATATTGGCAACCTATGTGTTATTCAGCTGGGTCTCATCTTGATCAAACCGAAGCCGGAAGTTAACCCCCCCCCCCCCCAGGAGTCCACAGACTATCCTAGGGAGGGAGGCCCTACCCTGATGGTGGTGAGCTGACTCGTCCTTGATGTTGTCACCTTTCATCTCACTTATTAGCACCTATGGCCGTCAAGTTACATCAGAATGCTCAGGTTACTTTTTATTGGCCTGAAAAGCTTATCCTCCCCTCACCCCCCCACCCCCCCACCCCCACTTAATGTCTCCTTGAATCTTAATTATACCAAAGTAGGCTTTCATGATATAAATATGATCACAGCTTGTATAGATCCACAAAGCCTAATGGATAGAGTTCACACTGGCCCAGTTGTTTGGCGTTGTTCTCTAGTTTGCTTGTTTACAGTGTGACTAAGGCAGTCGAGAGCTGTGCTATCACTACCAGCTCTGTGAGGATATTTCAATGAAAATTAATTAAAGTTAAATATTTAGTTTCTCAGCCACACTAGGCCTATTTCAAGTGCTCTGTGCCATGTGTGGCTGGCGGCTACCCTACTGGATGGCCCAGGTACAGGGTATTTCTGTCAGACAGCACCCATCTGAAGACTTGATGCAGTCAAGTCTCATTCAAAGAAACTTGCAGAACGTTTCAGGGAAATTAATCATCTATATTACTAACTATAGGTCAAATAGCAAAGGGACTTTGGCTATGAGTGCACACCCAAAACCTCCCACCTCCCACCCCTTTGTTTCCTCCTACCTCCCAGTGGAACAGGCACTGTTACTCCCCCCTCATTAGAAGCTATTGAGAGGGCAAGGAGGGGAAAAACAACAAACAATGGAGAAATTGGTTTGTATACATAATTAACATCATGAACTCTGCGTAATTCTTTCCCCTCTCTCTTCAGGTCCTTGAGGCCACACGGGTTAATCGAAGGAAGAGCGCATTAGCCTTGCGCTGGGAGGCGGGGATCTATGCCAACCAGGAGGAGGAGGACAATGAATAATAAACTTCCTTCCACCCACGAAGCTTCGTGCGTGCTTGGGTTACCAAGAAGCCAAGCCATCCACACATCACAGCATTTTAATGGAGTATTTATTAAAGTGCAAACAAACTCAGCAATCCTTCCGTAGACCAGAAGCTGCAATGATGAACCATAACGTGAAAAAAGAAGTCCACCCATCAAACTCTAACCCCCAGGAGTCACCAGAGAAAGGATTTTTTGTGGCTCAGAGAATCGCCTGGATTTGGACCAATCTGCAACTGTTCCAAAGGACAACGAAGTTACAAGCAAATCAACATGGTTGCTCCAGGCAGAACTGAGACCAGCCCGGCTGGGTGGGAGGAAACGCAATGGCGATGGGCCCATTTGAGAGCAGTGGGCCCAGGCGGGTGCAGTCTACAGGCACAGGTGCTCTCTGCACCCGTGGCCCGCCTACCGCTCAGCATCAGAGGTGCTGGGTTAACTCCATTGACTCCAGCAGCCATAACATGAATCCTGTTTCTCTCCTTGCTGAGAAGAGGCAATGATGATTCCATTTATCTTACACTTCCTTGTTTTTAATCTGGAGCAATGAATGATCGCAATACATAAAAATCCCTATTTTTAAGACAATGTTTCTTCATATTGCAAAACACAATCTGTTCTACATGAGGAGGTTGAGAAAGGGGGAGAAAGCCAAAACCAAATGGATTATTTTAGCTTTAGGATCTTGTCTGCTTAGGCTATTGACTGATCTGCAGGTTAGGAGAACACATTTTCATGATTATGTTTCTTCCTATGAAAACTATATTTAGTGGACAACAACTATTTTTATGATGGGATGGGGGAATATATCCATGTATAAAGCCTGTACACATTGAACATCTGGTTCAAGAGGGTAGGGGTATTTTTAGAATGGCAACAATTGAAAAGGGGCAAACTCTGCCTTAGAGAGGTAGATGACGAGAAACGAAAAGGGGTTTATATTTTATATCATAAAGTGGACCTTAGGGGTGGTAGGAAGAATGAGAAATTATTTTGGATTAATCAGAAATGAAACATTAAAGAAAGGTCATGAAGGTAGAGAGAGAAGGGAGGGAGGAAAAGTGGGGGAAATAAGGAAGTAAGAGGTATTTTTGTTGAGCAGCCAGTGTTTTTCCGGATGATACAGGAAAATATAGACTAGACATTTAAGTGCAGGCTTGGAATCAGCTACAAATGCTAAAGATGGTGTGTGTGAGTGTGGGTGCTTGTGTACACACGCACTCACCTACCTCTGTGTGTTTGTGTCAAGTGTGGATGCCCACGAGGAAGAGTGTGCGTATGTCAGGATTAAAATCCCAGAGCGATCATGGGACAGGGTGTGCAGTTATTTCCTCCAAAGCTCTTAGCCAGCGTCAGGAGTGAGTGAGGATTTCTTTTTTTATGAAAAGGGAGATAGAGGCACCGAACTGATGCAGTATTTGTCATTGTCAACTGACCTAACATGGTATTTGCATGAGTCACAATTGCAGAGTTTGGAGCAGTTTTGTAACTTGACGTTTAGGAAAGTACCATATTTATTCTCATGCTTTGTATTCACGCGTAGCATACTACAGAGGATGCCAGCTTTACTCTTTCTGTCATTTAAAGCAATATGACAAGGGCACCCCGTAACGGAGTGCCCCATGTTTCTGGATGAGAAAATGTTCCATTCTGGCCATGAGAAAAAAACCTGACCAGCATTCTTTTTCTTTTCTTTTTTCCCTTTTGTTTTAAAACTGTGGTTTTTACAAATAAGCAATAATGAAGTCAGACCTCACTAAAATTCATTTTTGTTTTTATATTGTTGTGTCCTAAGCTCTAATGTGTTATTCTGATGAGTAGCAACTCCACAAAATTTGTATGTAGATGTTGTGCACATTATCTTTGTTTCTTTTATTAGACTAGTGTTGACTTAGGGGGAAGTTTATTGACAGACAAGTAGTGGGCACAAAGGAAAATTGGAACTGCTGGATCATTTACAAGGATCCTTTAAAACTGCCAAGGGAGCCTGCAGTTTGAAGCCACATTCTACCGATGGGCAGTTGGTGCCATCTTTGTATGAATCCTGCTCTTGAATATTCCAAGTGAATATTCAATGTGTGCGCCCACCACTGGGGGCACCAGACGAATAATATCCCTGTGGCAGGAAATTAATTCTGGAGCGGGGGAGGCTGGCACGGAGATAGACTTTCTCGGGAAAATGAGGTCTGGGTTAGGTTAGAAGTCCCGTCAGGTGACATGGGACAACCAGGAAGGATGCTTTGCCCGATGATGTCCAGTGTCCCCAAGGCACGCAGCGGATGAAAACAGGTGGGTCGGCAGCTTCGTGGGGCCCAGGGCACAGCGGCCGCTGGCGAGGGTGAGAGGAGCAGAGCGCTTCTGTGGGTGGCA